TATATATGTGTGTGTGTGTGTGTATGTGTGTGTGTGTTTGTGTGTGTGTGTGTGAAGCAGGCAGAATTATGTTTCTTACAGAATATTTGGATGTGGATCCACGTGAAGAGCAGGAGTAAAGGTTAAGAAACACGCTGCATAAACGAGAAGGATAAGTTTTGTATTTCCACCTTTGCCTCCCTGCAGGTGCTGCACTGCACCGGCCACCTGAAGATGTACGATGGCTGCACCTTGAGGGTTCAGTGCGGCTACAAGGAGCCGCCGCTCACCTGTGCCGTCCTGATGTGCGAACCCATTTCACACCCGTCCAACATTGACGCTCCGCTGGACAGCAGGACCTTCCTGAGCAGACACAGCATGGACATGAAGTTCACCTACTGTGATGAAAAGTAAGGAGAACGTTTCCAACGCCTCACAGATATCAACTCTGAACATATTTTATTATTGTTCATCTTGAAGTCATCAGTGTTTGATTCTAACGTTTTCCTGTTTTCCTTCGGGCCATCTGAACCAGATCCTCCACCTCTTCATACAAACATCACACAACTTGATCCGATGAAAGCCAGGATTTAAGAAAATTAAAACAACTGCACTGATCTTTATTTTTACCTGTTTACAAAATTGTGCTTTTTGACTAAAATGAGCCTAAATATTTTGTTGGCTTAGCGGCCATCTTGGCATCTGTCATTTTAATTTTCTCAACTGACCAGTCAGAGTTTGTAAAACCACCTAGAAGAGATTGTTTTGTTCATCATATCTCTGCTTTGTCAATGACCTGCCAGAGGTCTGCAGGCGTTAGATGGACTGAAGGTGCAGGAAGTTCAAAGGTGCTCCTGGATCCGGGCGCCTCCGACAAGCCCATTTTACTGAGCTGGTTTTGGTCTTTCTCACACTGGTTCTTGGTCGATTCTCTGCAGTGTACTTCCTTCAGTCAGTTGTTCCCGGGGTTTCAGGATCATCATTCCAAACCTTTTACAGTTTTATTCTGTATTTCCTGGGTGCTGGATTTATTGGTAAACTCATGGATATTGGAAAACTTTTCCTGGACTTTAAACATACTGTATTGTTTTGTTCAGAGGTGTGCAAAGTGAAGTTATTTTTGTAATGATAAAAAAAACATAAAGCTTAACATTTTGTGTTGGTAGACACCATAGGCGTCACAACAATTATATGTGAAGAGGACGTACGTATTTAAAAAAATACTAATTTGGACACCCCCCAACCCACACACACACATTTACCATGAAATATTAGTTCACCCAGTGCTGTTTCCATTTCTTTGTGAAGGAATCCATTCATATTCAAACCAACCATTAAGAGTCCACTCAGGGTTTTTCTGGTTACCTACAACAACTCACTATACATGCAATGTTTCCTCTAAGTCACAGTTGTCAAACTCCAGGCCTCAAGGGCCACACAGCTGAATCAAATAAGGAGGTCATTAGCAGGACTTTGGAGAACTTGACTGCACTGAGAAGCTAATTCAGTCATATGATTCAGCTGTGTGGCATCAGAGACACATCTAAAAGTTGCAGGACTCTGGCCCTCGAGACCTGGAGTTTGACACCCCTGCGAAGTCACTTGGCTTGGCAGGGCGCTCATCTCTTTGGGGTTTTTGTCAACAGGGTGGGGGAAAGAGATGTAGACACCTCTGTGTTGTGTGCTAGCTTAGCACTACATTAGTGCCAGCAGTTGCTGACCGGGGTAGGGGGGTTGATATGCGTGAGAGAAGCCGAGCCCTATGTCTGTAGCATCTTAGTGTATCTGTTGTGTGTCACTAGCTTAGTGCTATGTTAGTCCCGTAGATGGGGGAGTTAGGATGTGTGAGAGAAGCAAAGCGTTCTCTATTCACACAAGGAGAACTGTTAGTCAGGCTACTTCTTGTTGTGCCATGCTCTCTAAAGTAGTTGTTGAATCAAGTGTTTACTTATGTAAGTAAACGTATATGTTGAACAACCCATTAAAAACACCGGAATGCAGGAAATGGCATCTAGTTCATTCAAAATTTTCTAGGGGAGGACTGCCCACGCCCCATTTGAAATGCTTCTTTTGACACCATTGGTAGACACCCAAATTTAAATTACAACCTTGTACACAAGCTTATTATGAGCTGATAAATATTTGTTTTTTGCTTGTCAGTGGACATGAGACATCATCAGTTTGCAGGTGTCTAATGGATAATAATTCTTTGTTTTCAAAAACTACTAAAAATATTATTAATAAAAATATAATAATAATATTCATTTATCTTCTTGTGGACCCATCACCTGCAGTAGGGGGCATACAAGTTGGGTGCATGATGCCATGGACAGTGGCCAAGGTGGTATCCTTAGCCCTCTGACTCTAGCTTATTAAAGCTGGCTCTTGGGACATGGAATGTGACCTCTCTGGCAGGAACACATCCTGAGCTTGTACGTGAGGTTGAGAGGTACCAACTAGATATAATTGGGCTAACTTCAACACATAGCAAGGGCTCCGGAACCAATCTCCTTGAGAGGGGCTGGACCTTATTCCACTCTGGAGTTGTCCATGGTGAAAAGTGCCAAGCTGGTGTGGGTCTACTTTTAACCCCTCTGACTTGGTGCCTGTGGTTTGGAATTTTCCTCGGTGGATGAGAGGGTGGCTTCCCTGCACCTTCAGGTGGGGGACAGGCTCTGACTGTAGTTTGAGCCTACATGCCATTACAGGCAAAGTATCCGGCCTTCTTGGAATCTTTGGCGAGGGTGTAGGAAGGCTGTCTTGGTTGACACGCCTTTGCAACATCTCATGGACATCTGGGGCAGTGCCAATTGGATTGTCAGACAGGGGTGGTGGTTCCCCTCTTCAAAAAGGGGGACTGGAGGGTGTGCTCCAATTATAGGGGCATAACTCTCCTTAGCCTCCCAGGTAAGACCTATTCAGGGGTACTGGAGAAGCGAGTCTGATTGTTGATCGAACCTCAGATCCAGGAAAAACGAGTTCTGTCCTGGCCATGGAACACTGAGTCAGCTCTTTACCCTGACTAGGGTCCTCGAGGGGTCATGGGAATTTTCCCATCCAGTCTACATGTGTTTTATGTACTTGGAGAAGGCTTTCGACCGTGTTCCTTGAGGTACACTATGGGGGGTGCTCCATGAGTGTGGGATGGGGGGGAGGGGGGCATTGCTATGGGCTGTTCAGTCACTATACAAGCGGTGCAAGAATTTGGTTCACATTGACAGCAGTAAGTCAGACACCTTTGGGGTGGGAGTTGGACTCTGCCAGGGCTGCCCATTGTCACTTATTCTGTTCATACCTTTTGTAGACAGAATTTCTTGGTGCAGCCAGTGAGAGGAGGGATTCTAGTTCGGTGGCCTCAGGATTACATCTCTGCTTGTTGCAGATGATGTGGTCCTGTTGGTGTCATCATGCCATGATCGCCAGCTCCCACTGGAGTGTTTTCCAGCCTACTGTGAAATGACTGGTATGAGAATCAGCACCTCTAAATCTGAGACCATGGTCCTCATTAGGAAAAGTGTGGATTGCTCTCTTCGGGTCTAGGGTGAGGTTCTGCTTCAAGTGGAGGAGTTCAAATATCTCTGTGTTTTGTTCACGAGTGAGGGAAAAATGGAATGTGAGATTGACAGATGGATTGGTGCAGCATCTGCACTATTGTGAAATCTGTGTTGGTCTTTTGTGATGAAGAAGGAGCTGAGCTGTAAGGCAAAGCTCTCTGTTCACCACCCTCACCTATGGTCACGAGCTCTTGGTAGTGACCGAAAGAATGAGATTGTGGATACAGGTGGTTTAAATGAGTTTCCTCTGCAGAGTAGCTGGACTTTCCCTTAGAGATAGGGTGAGAAGTTCAGTTATCTGGGAGAGACTCTGAGTAGAACCGCTGCTCCTCCACATCGAGAGGAGCCAGTTTAGGTGGTTTTGGCACCTGGTAAGGATGTTTCCTGTGTGCCTCCCTAGGGAGGTGCTTCGATGTCTCTCAGTTGGCCTGGGAACGCCTTGGAAACTTCCCAGAAAAGCAGGAAGAGGTGGCTGTAGAATGAGATGTCTGGGCCTCCTTGCTCAAGTTGCTGCCCCCGTGACCCTGACCCGACTAAGGAATAAGTGGAAGATGGATGGATGGATGGATGGATGGATGGATGGATATTCAGTTATGTCTTTAAAGTCATGATCATTTTGTAACTTTTGAGCGACAGTGGAGAGGAATGACTCCCTTACAATGGGAAGGAACCAGGATGAGAGAAACTTGACAGGTGTGTGTGTGTGTGTGGGGGGGGGGGGGGGGTTTGAGAAGTCCACAGTATATTTTAGACCAGTCTCAGACCAGAAACAGACAGAGCAGCCACCTTAGAACCTGATCCAGGTTACGTCACTTTCCAAGCATTTGATTAGAAAACATCGAATAATCAGAAGAATCATTTTAATTGCATCAAATCAGAGAAGCTGTTTGCAGAAGTGACTCATAAACGATTTGAAACTCTCTCAGAACAATAAGCTTTCAATAAGCTGCAGCTTCATGCTCTGGACTGCTGCCAAGTAAAATACAAGCCTGACAGCAGTGCTCACAGAAGAAAGTGGACTTTCTTCAGGGCGGGCGGATCAGTTTGGTCTGACAGAGACGCTACTTTGAGCCAAAAAGAAAAATGTTAAATCCAGAATAAGAAGCTGTCAGGACGTCAGGGGACATTGAGGTTCACGCATTAACACTTTCAGCTGTTGTCATTTCCCTCTGCAACTGTCATCTCAATGTCCTGTTTGCATGAACCGAACAGCAGCCATCTTAAAGGCCAAGAACCGGTTTGTTTTCAGGTATTTCTCTCCGACTGTTTTTGTGCAACGGCCCGAGTTGCATAAACACGCAGTCCTGTAATCTTATCAAGGTGCTCATGTGGGACAAAGGTTTCTTACAGAAGGAAAGTGCGTGCTGGCACAAACAAGGACCCGCTTTCATGTCTGTTTTCTTTTTCTGTGAGCTTTAATAGCCGCTCAAATCTATTCTCCAATTACATAAATGAGTTTTCTGTAGGTGGGTCGGCCTGCTGGCCCTGCAGGGACTTGGGCTCATTAGAGGAGGAACAGAAAGTTTCTTTAACTCACTGCTGGCAGCGCGAGAGCTCGCAGAAGGGAAAACAAAGTAATGGAGGTAGTGGAGAAAGAGGGGGGAAAGAAAAGAGTGAGTTTTCAACAAGTGGAAACAAGTCCAAGATCCTCTGTTTTCACAAGGAGAGAGGTTTGAGCAGAGACTGGAGTTTTATTTTCATACAAAACATGGATTAGTGTACAGCTGAGCCCCATCAGGATTATTAGTAAAGTGTTTGCTTTTTCCTGGTAAACTCTCACACTTGTGTGAGAGTTTATGAAGCATTCACACTATTGTGATCCATTTTTCTTCCGTATGGTTTTCGGCGTGATTCTCGTCCCCCAGTTTTTGTGCTATTTCAACAATTCATATAAAAATGTTCAGCTCTTTCAGGACAATCCTGTTATGACACAACTTTAGCTTTTTGCAATATTTAGTCTTTTCTACATTTTCTTCTCACAGAAAATGAATTAAGCTCATTTTGCATCCTTCAAATCTTTAGATCAGTTTACAACCTTATACTTCTCCTTTCACATTTTATTCTGCTTCAGCTTCTTTCAGCTTCCCTGTGCAAATTTAAACTTTGTTTTCAGCTACTTGTAGCTAATTTCAGCTGTTTTTTTCAGCTGTTCTGGGCTCCTTTCAGCTACTTTCTACTAACTTCAACTTTTTGGTGCTTTTTCTAACTTCTTTCTGCTAATTTGAGCTTGGTATGCTCCTTTCATGTTATTTCAGCAAGTTTCAGGTTTCTCTACTATTTCCACTACTATATAGCTATTTATGCTAATTTAAGCTTTTTCAGCTAATTCCACATATTTTGCACTCATTTCAACTTTTTTATTCTAATTCAACATAAATATGCTCTCTCCACTTCCTTCTTGTAATTTCAGCTTCTTTCTGCTTTTTGTTAATTACTTTTTAAGTGTTTTTAACTAATTTCAGCTTTTTTCAGATAATTTCTACATTTTTAGCTAATTTTTCCTTCTTTCAGCAAATACATTTTTTTCTGCTTTTTTTCTGCTAATTTAAGAATATTCTACCTTTTCAGCTACTGTTTTGCTATTTTTAGTTCATTTCAGCTGTTTTCAGATAAATTCAAGTTTTTTTTGTGGTAATTTCTGGTACTTTCAGCCTAGTTTTCTTTCTTCTAATTTCGTCTTGCTGTGTGCCTTTCAGCTTTTTTTTTTTTTTTTTTGCTAGTTTCAGCTTTTTCTACTATTTCAGCTACTTTTTAGCTGGTTTTGCTAAATTTAGCTCTTTTTTTTTTTTTTTTTTTGCTAATCTCCACATTTTTTTAGCTCATTAAACCTAAAGAGATTAAGAGTTCCCACAAGAGCGGGAAGAATCAAAGCCCAGAAAGGGACTGGCTCTGGTTCCTGACGGCCTGTCCATCTCTCCGTTTGATTTTCAAATCAGATCTGACACTTTTTGAAGTGCAGAACAGGACGCAGGTTGAGGTGGGAAGATTAAAGTTCAGAAGGTTCCGATTAATAATCTGATTACCTGTGTGTGTGTTTCAGAGTGACAGAGCTGATGGGTTACGCCCCCGAAGACCTGCTGGGACGTTCGGTCTATGACTTCTACCACGCCCTGGACTCAGACAGTGTCACCAAGAACCACCACAACTGTAAGTCCCACGTGTCCAAACTGTTCCACATGTCCAAACTGTTCCATGTGGCCAAACTCTCATAGGCAGAACCTGGAAGTTGGTTCCACAAGAGAGGAGTCAGAGAACTGAAAGATTGTTCTTCCATTCTGCTTTTGGAAACTCTAGGGACCGTGAGTAAACCTGCAGCCTTGGAGGAAGGTGCTCTGTTAGGAAAATATGGAACAATAACTCCACAATGATAAGTCAGTCTTGTAGAGCTATCTCAGCCTGAAATAAAAAATATTACATTTAAATTATTTCTTTCAATTTTAACTCTTTAAGGGCCTTTATTTAAAATATATATATATGCAGTAGTCCCTCGCTATTTTGCAGTTCGTTTATCATGATTCGCTCTATTGCGGTTTTTCAGAATAAGATTGGACATGACACACAATTGGCTGATTGATGGATGAGCCGCACGATAGCCATGGAATTTTTAGTTAAAACAAATTATTTTAAATTATTTAGCACGGACAGCACGGTGGCGCAACTGGTAGACCTGCTGCCTCTCAATGAGCAGGTCCCTGGTTCAAATCCCAGTCCTGGGGCCTTTCTGGGTGGAGTTTGCATGTTCTCTCTGTGCATGCGTGGGTTTTCTCCAGGTACTCCAGTTTCCTCCCACAGACCAAAAAACATGCATGTTAGGCTGATTGGTAACTCTAAATTGTTCCAGGTGTGAGTGAGAGAGTGAATGGTTGTTTGTCTCGTTTGTCTCTATGTGTCCCTGTGATGGACTTGCGACCTGTCCAGGGTGTACCCCGCCCCTCGCACAATGATTGCCGGACATGGCACCGGCGACCCCTGTGACCCAAAATGGAATAAGCGGGTAAAGAAAATGGATGGATGGATGGATATATATAATGTGTGTATATATATATATGTATATATATGTATATATATATATATGTATATATATAGTTATACAATATAAAATAAACTACTACCTACTACTTGTACTACTATTCCTACTTCACGGTTTTTCACTTATCACGGGTCTTCAGGGTACAGATCCCCCATGATAAACGAGGAATTACTGTATATTTCTGTTATTTTTTAAGCCACAAAATATTTATTTTACAGAAACTTTATGAAAAAAAAAAGAATAAATATATAGAAAGGCATTTTGATTAGTATTTCCTAAATGGAAGGGGAGGAGTGGTGGCACAGAGGCTAGAGAAGGTGGGCCTGTGATTAAAAGGTTGCCAGTTCAACTCCCTGGACCGACAACATCAAAATGTGGGTGGGAAAGGTGAAGCACCCACACCTGTCTCCACCCTCATTTGCCCCACTCTGGGCCCTTGAGCAAGGCCCTTAACCCCCACCATCTGCTCCCCCGGGTGTCCTAGATATCAACTCTCTGCTCCACACAGAGAGCTGTGGTAGCTCGGTGGTCTGTGGTTGTGTCAGGTCGGACATTTGGTGTAAAAACAATTTCCAAGTCTTGGTGTGAGTTACTTTTCTGTGGCGACCCCTGAAGAAAGGAGCAGCTGAATGAAGAAATAATATGCCCTAAATTATTGTTTACAATTGTTTATTTCCAGCCCTGACTTTGATGAAGACTCTCCAGCCCATCAGGAGTTGAGTCAAACTTACCCTCGTTTCTCGGTGGTCAGACGTAGAGGTTTTTTCTTTTCTTTTTTTCTTAACTCTGCCTGTGGTAGAAAAAATGTCCTGGCTGATCTGACCTGGAAATACGGTGCACCCACTAACAACGTCCTGCTGTGGGTGCAGTCAGCCGCTGTCAGCCATGGAGCATGTGATGCTGCAGCCTGCATGCATGCGAAACAACTTTTAGTACCAAATGTTTATTTGTGCACGTTACAAGTGAGATTTTGCTCTTTACATCCAAACTCAAACAATTTGGCTGAAATGTGAGGCAAGACTCTGACTGATAAAGTTCTGCTTCCAGGGTGAGTTGAACCAACCCATCTGTGATTTTTACAGACTCTCAAATATAAAAGTGGAGCATTAATGAGTTAATGTAAAAATCTAAAGGATAGGAATAGAGGTAAAAATAAAAAAACATTACTGAGAGGAATGTATTGGTTCATGATCTGATAAATATGGATTAAATGTTATATTTACAGTTTATTTTAATTTTTCTCCTCAGGAACACAGGTGTAGTAAAGTTACTGTGAGGTTGTGAGAGCATTTGAAAAAAATTCTGACATTAACAAAAGTCTGATTTTTAGGCTTTTTCAGAAAACATGTTTATTGACAGCGCCAAAATAAATTAATAAATAAAAACACAAACAGAAAAAAATATGTGGCTGATTTTTTTTCCCCATAAGTTCTTTCAAGAGTTAATGTGAGATGAAGCTTCATCAGAAGTGAAGCAGCATTTTGGATCAACCAAAGATTTTTTAGAGAGTTTTATAGACACCAAAAAGGAACAATGTAGTATTCTTTAATAAAAACGCTCAAGTAATACAGGCAATAATTAAACCGATCCTTTGCGGACAAATAATCTCAAATCATTGTTTGGTGAAAATCCACAGACATTTGTTCTTTGTTCTTTATCCAAGGACAGATTGAACCCAGAATATATTAAATTTAGTTGTTGTGTTTTTTATTGTACTGAAGCTAGCAGACAGGAAGAAAGGTCCTCTGACTGCACAGCCATTCATCGCAGATATCAAGTGCTTTTCTTTGATGGTTATTTGGTCGTACAGTTTGATCCAGTTATACATGTATATCTGTTCGTATGCATGTGTGTTCCTACCTGTGTGTGCAGAGCTGGGGCATTAAGGGCTATTAAGATGTCTTTTATCAAATTAGGTGCAGCCACTGATGGCCTGATGAGGTTTGCACACGTCTGGTGCCACAAGCCCAGCTGACAGGGGACCAGGTGGCTCATGTTCCAATCTAATGACACTGTTTGTGAGAGTCTGCGAGCAGAGGGGCCTCTAAAGTGTCATGGCTATTCTCTCTGCGCTGACAGCGTGGCGTCATTAAACGCTAGGAGCTGCAGACTTCTGCAGCATCATCTATGTGTGTGACCCGCAACAACAACAACAGCAATATTAACGTGTGTTGTTCCCAGATGGTCGTGGTGTACTGACACATCTGAGTAGTTACCACTAACCACACACTCTTGTTTGCCTGTCTTATTAGGAGTGTTCCTTCTCCCTAGAAACATTCCTAAACGGACAGGTAGACAGAAACGCAGAGTAAAAAGTAAGCCTCCAACAAACAGTCACTGCGTGAAAACCGAGTAATATAGAAGAAATTTAAAAACAGGAAGTGGTAGAAGCCACTATTGAAGGAAAGTCATTACAGTGTGATTAAAGTTTGTCTAGACAGTTTGGATTTAACAGGTTTTCTTCATCTGCATCTTTTTCGTTGAGCTTAAAGAACTGAGGCAACAGTGGTTGTATGCTCAGCTTCTTCACCTCACCTGTTGAAGCTCGTACCTCCTTCAGAGTGGTCTCAGGTGTCTTGGCGGTCTCTCAAACTGTTCTTTTTAACGGTCTCTCAGTTTGTGAGGACGATCTTGGTAGATTTACACATTTTCCCATATTTCTTAATTTCTTGATGATGGATGTAAGAGAACTCCTGGGGGTATTCAGGAGTTTAGAAACATTTTGTATCCATCCATTTGTATCCATCCCCTGACGTATACTTCATACTCTTTACGTAATAATGTTTTCTATGGGTTCCATCGGAGCAGTCACTTTAAAGGGGATGAATATTTGGGCAGACACATATTTTACAATACATTTGCTATTTAATTATTATATCACAGTAGAAACATGATTTAACTTTGTCACTGAAGGTTTATTTTTTGTTTTTCTTTGTGATGAAGGACAATTTTTTATAGACAGTAACTGACAGCAAGAATAGGATATGAATATTGTAGACAGGCACTGTAAATACCTTTATACCCCCCTCAAATCTGATCTTCTTAATGCACAACTATGTTTAGTCATAAAACATTGGATACATTTCATTTGATCCTTGAAGTCAAGGTGCATTTTCCCCGTGACATTATCTGATTGCAAGAAGAACCTCTATTATGTAGCATTGCCTTATTCTGAAACACACCAGGAATAATCATTCAAAGCTTTGAGGTGAAAATCTAAAAAGTTTTTCTACCAATACTTGTCAGAAAATATCATGACAGAAACTGGTTTCACATTTCTGGGTTTGACATAATTTTCTCTTCTCAAGCTCTATTTGAATTTTGGCTTTCAGAGATTTTTTCCTAAAATGCGAGATAAAAAAAAAAAAAAGACTGCGCCCCTCCTTCTCTCCTTCTCCAAGTCATCTGCAAACTTGAGCTGGCTTAAATTTTCTGAGATGAAAGAGCCTCTATCTGAATGTCTCCCACACGAACACCAGCCGCTCTCACGGCCAACGTGACCAGCCCGTCGGTCAGCACATGCTAACATCCCTGCAGCATGCAACGCTGCCCCAAGACGACACACACACACACAGTGTCAGTGGCCTAATGTACTGTTTCTGACCAGTCTTGCTTGTTTCCCACGCTGTCCAGCGCTGAACTCTGGACGGCAGCCAGCACATCTCCTCCTCAGCTCTCAGTCAAACATCCAGCTTTATTCTGCCAACACACATTTACTAAATGATGATATTACATGTTTTTAAAGGAAAAATTGAAATGTTGAAGCAAGTTCCTCTAACATGACCTTTGACATCAGACATATTTAGCCTTGCACCACTCTGAACTGTAACTGTTGCCATAGTTTGGAGCTACTTGTGGGTTTAACTCTGCTTTATAAACCGTTCGGCTGGGAGGTGTCTGCTTTTTATCTGAAGGTCAAATCAAGGTGAATGTATGGAGACGTTTGTGTCCTGTAGATGGTTTTTGTGGAACAGTAAAACCTTTCAGAGGCGGTGATTTTCTTCACCCAGTATAAAATGCTTCCAACCTTTTCTCCAGATCACAGCTGATCAGATACCAAACTGGTCTCTCTTGTAAATGAGTCCTTGACGCTCAGCGAGACTAACCTGTATAAATAAAGGTTGAATGATCAGTGTTGTTTTTTAGCTATTCTGTTCCTAAAATGTGCATGAAATACACAAGTTGAGTTTAAATTACTGACCAAAAACAAAGCTAAAGTGGAAAGACTGGGTGTAAAATCTAGGTCAACGATGCTACTGGCACAGGGTTAAAATGGAAAGCAGCAGCCAGGAGATGCTGATCAAATGTATTGATAAAGTGATCATCATTAGTGTGATCACCTCGATAAAAGCAGATCATTGCAGTTTTGGAGAACACAGGTGTGTATGTTAGCATCATACCAAGTTGGAAAGGCAAGAGCAATGACTTCAGAGAAGCAACTGTTGCTTCCCTGTATTTTGGTAAGGGTTAAAGGTCATTTGGAAATGATCTGGAGTCCACCTCTCTACAGAGAGAAAGATTATTCACAAGTAGAAAACAGTTCAGATGTTGATCCTCCCAGGAGTGGATGTCCCAGAAGAAATCCACAGAGCTCCGTCTCAGACACCACAGACCTCGGGTGCCAGGTTAAAAGTTTTATTTTGTCACAATTCAAATACTGAAAGACATAACATGGAGAGCTTGTGTTGAAGAGTTTCCAACAAAAAAACAAAACCATGGCAGCACAACTTAGGTTTGTAAAAAATAATAATAATAATTCTGAATAGACCACAGTACTTCTGGAACAGGGTGGAAGGTGGCTCAGTTAGTGGAGCTGCCGACTCACAGCAAGAAGGTTGCCAGATCGAATCCTGGCCTGGGGGCATTTTTGAGTGGAGTTTGCATGTTCTCTCTGTGCTTGTGTGGGTTTTCTCCGGGTGCTCCGGTTTCCTCCCACAGACCAAAAACATGCATGTTAGACTGATAGGTAACTCTAAATTGTCCCTAGATATGAGTGAAAAAGTGAATGGTTGTTTGTCTCGTTTGTCTCTATGTGTCCCTGTGATGGACTGGAGACCTGTCCAGGGTGTCCCCTGCCTCTCTCACAGTGACTGCTGGATATGGTCACCAGTGATCCACACTACCTTAGGAGAGCTGTGTAAAGATGAAGGTCTGAAAACTTCCATGAACTAAAACAATGTTATATTGAGCCAAAATTCCTCCACAACCATGTGAGGGATGAATCACTGCTGAGCGGTATCACTGCTAAAGATCCTCGTCCTACAAACTGCTGCATCTCTGGCTGGTCTTAGTTGGTCATACACAGCTTTATCATTTTCCTCTTGTTTTGCTTTAATTATAACAATTTAGAATCTGTTGTGTGAATTTTGTACCCTTGAGGTTAGACTTGGAAAGAATAGATCCTGCTAAAAACCAGATCATTATACGTCCGTCGAGTGGTGGACATATCCTGGTATAGTCTCTGTACGTGCGTCATCTGTAAAATTTCTCTTGTTCGGCTCATAACTTCTGATCCGCTCAAGATAATGTAATGAATCTTCATTTACATATGCATTACTAGACAGAGTGTAGCATACACTTTTCATCCCCCCAGCTTCAAGGTCAAGGTCATAAATCAAGGTCAAAGTAGAAACAACTTTTTTACTTGTCTAGGTCATTGCTATGATTGTTGACGGACGTATGTGGTACTCTTGTTTTTATTTTGACCTGAAACACACAAGCCTTGCATGAGGGATGGTGAACTAGTATTAAACTATCTGCTGGAAACATGTCATGCACATCAGCTCTTTTCTGCCTTTGTGTGTCTGCAGTGTGCACCAAGGGTCAGGCAGTGAGCGGTCAGTATCGAATGTTGGCAAAGAATGGTGGCTACGTCTGGGTGGAGTCTCAAGGAACAGTCATCTACAACAGCCGAAACTCTCAACCGCAGTGCATCGTGTGCGTTAACTACGTCCTCAGGTGAGTGCATTTCAGGCAAACTTTGTAGACACTTCCAAAGTGTTTGTTGCTTTACGCTCAGTCCAACTCACTGTGTCTCCACCGATCATGCAGTGACATCGAGAACAAGTCGGTGGTTTTCTCCTTGGAGCAGACGGAGGCTCTGTTCAAGCCACAACACATGAGCAGCTTCTTCTCTTCTGGAGAAGTGGGCATGAATGAAGAGCTAGGAGACTCCCTCTTTACCTCACTGAAAGAGGAACCAGAGGACCTTGCTCAGCTTGCTCCAACACCTGGAGACACCATCATTTCCCTGGACTTTGGTCAGTAATGACCTCTGACACGTCTGCTCTCTGGTTTATGTGTACAACATAAACCAGGGTCTGACTTATTTCTGACTCATCCTCTCAGGTCGCCCTCAGTTCGAGGAGTCCCAACAGACTGCGTCGTTCACCCCATCTACATCCATGCCTCCTCCAGGACCTTCATCATGGCCAAGCGAGGGGCACAAACCCTCTCCTGCAGCCTCGGCCCAAACCTTGCCTGCTGTTCCAGGGGACGTGGCTAACAGGCCAACATTCACTGTGCAGCAGAACCCTCAGTCGGGCAGCGTCACTCCGAGCCTCAGCAGCTGCTCCACGGTGAGGACAACAATTGTTCGGCTGAAAAGATGAATTCGTCAGCCGCTGGTTGATTGGGTTCATTTATTAGTTTCCTTTTTGTCTGTTCAGTGAGCTCAGTAAAAGTGGGCAAAGTGTGTGAGAATGCCGGGGGTGGTCGTTTGGATGGAACAGGCTGTTAGCAGTGAATGGAGCCTTCGTCATCTTTTACTCTTTTTGTCTCTCTGCCTTTCCTCTCATCTGATTTCTTCTGTTGTTCGCCTGCAGCCCAGCAGTCCAGGTGATTATTACAGCTCAATGGAGAGCGACATGAAGCTGGAGCTGACTGAGAAGCTGTCTGCCCTGGACTCAGAGGGAAACAGCAGCTCTGCAGCCACTCAGGTGGGAAACCACAGCCGCACAAACATTTCTTATTTATTCTCACATCAGACTTTCAGTTCAGTTTCACCACTTTTCTAAAAGCTGTGGCTCCGAATCAATAGCTTGTTTCTCTAAAACTCATTGAAAATGTTTTGGATTTCACCTTTAATTTATTCAGCTTAAAGGTTTGTTGTTTTGTTTTTAAACCAACCACACGGTCCCGTCAGATCAAGATGGAGTTGCATCTTCTCTTGCGACCACATCCTGGGAGGTTGTCTACAATTTTGCGAACTTATATACTTGTTTTAATTATGTCATCTGTGGTCAGGGGAGCATGACGCTGCATGGAGATGTTATTTTAGCCTTTACCTTTACCATAGATACCTATAATCTCACTGCTCCATGTTGAGTGCTGCAGATGATGATGTCTAAGTAATATGTGGCTGTTTCCTTTAAATAGGCTGAATGTCTGATGAAAAGCTCCTGTGATACTGATTAGGGTCAAACATTTAAAAACATGTCTATAGTGCAAATAATGTATTTTTAATGAGGCTAACAAATCTGTCCATAGTCTTGTAGCATATTTAAAGAAATAAAATAAATATTTTTTGCATGTCTTGTTTTTCAACTCTGTTTCATATTAAAGGCATTCAGATTAGAAAATTGCTTTTAACTGAATTACTATTCAGGAGAAATAAAACCTTGTTTAAATATTCTGTTAAGTTACAAACAAACACATTTCTTTTCATCTGAAGAGTTGTATTTTTGTGCAGACATGGATTATGAGGCTGGTCTTTGGTTTGCAAAGTGCTTTTTGGGGAGAGAATGTTTAAAAATGATGGAAAACTTCAGGTTCCTGAGATAACTTTATTGTAAGATGGTACTGAAATCACAAAAAACTCTTAGGCCACACCGTTTGTAGATGATCGGTACTAAATTTATGGTTCAGAATAATTCAACAAAACTTCTAATGTGTGTTAAAGTTTATTTTTTAGCTTTTATTCTTATATGTTTAGTGCATCTTTGACATGGTTCATTACTTGCACACTAATAATTGTTGCACTTAGCCATCCATCCATCATCCATCCATCCATGTATCCATCTATCCATCCATCCATCATTCATCCATCCATCTATTTATCCATCCATTTATTCATCCATCCATTCATCCATCCATCTATCATCCATCCATCCATCGGCATCACAACCATTATATGTGAAGGGGACGTGTCCCCCCACATTCAAAAAAACGTTCATTTGGACCCCCACACACACACTTTTACCATGAAACATTAATTCGGTCGGCGCTGTTTCTCTTTTTTTGTGAACAAATCCATTCCACTTGATTGATAGGAGAATACTCAAACCACTAAAAGTCCACTCCAGGTTTTCCAGTTTACCTACATCTCTCCAGCAGTCTGCAGTGCTTCTCCTCTGCGTCTCCTCCCGCCTCGCCCTCGTTCGGCAGAGAACGCGCACAGGTGGAGGAGGTGGAGACACCTCTGTGTTGCTTGCTTGTCAGTTATCGAGCTAAGTGCAGGCAATTGTTGTCTGGGGGGTTGATCATAAACATATATACATGTGGATGCTTGAGAGAAGAGGAGCGCTACGTCTGTAGCATCTTAGCCGAGCAGTAACTGTGACCCTGTAAGACGCTGCAAGTGTAAGAGATGTTGTGTGTTAAAGTGTATTAAAGTTAAAATGTCTTTAAACCCCACAGCTGAATTTACACAAACTTGGTGAGAAACATGCTTTAAATGTGTGGAATTAAAAGAAAAAAATCTAGGTGAATTGTTGCTTTTTTGTATACTAGTGTACACTATTTTTACACACACACACGCGCACGCGCATGCACAAACACGCACACACAAACACACACACATCAGTGTGTCCCCTCCACATTACAGATGCTTCTGATGTCCTTGCATCTATCCATCCATCATCTTCTGCTTATTCTAAAGGCGGATCTCGGGGGCAGCAGCTTGAGCAGGGAGGTCCAGACATCTCTTTCCACAGCCACCTCTTCCAGCTCTTTTGGGAGGACCTCAAGGCGTTCCCAGGCCAACTGAGAGACGTAGTCCCTCCAATGTGTCCTGGGTCTTTCCCGGGGTTTTGGACATCCCTTGAAGCACCTCCCTAGGGAGGCGCTCAGGAAGCATCCTTACTAGATGCCTGAACCACCACAATTGACTCCTCTCGATGTGGAAGAGCAGCGGTTCTACTCCGAATCTCTCCCGGATAACTGAACTTCTCACCCTGTCTCTAAGGGAGAGTCAAGCTAGCTACCCTGCAGAGGAAACTTATTTCAACCGCTTGTATCCACAATCTCATTCTTTCAGTCTCTACCCAGTTTGTGATAGGTGAGGGTAGGAACATAGACTGACCGGTAACCATAGAGTTTTGCCTTACAGCTCAGCTCCCTCTTCACCACAACAGACCGGCACATAGTCTGCAACACTGCAGATGCTGCACCAATACATCTGCCAGTCTTGCACTCCATTTTTCCCTCGCTTATGAACAAAACCCTAAAATACTTAAACTCCTCCACTTGAGGCAGAACTTCATCCTCAACCCGAAGAAAGCAATCGCTAAATCGCTAAGTGCAACTTGACGATTTAGCAAACTGTATTCCTGCAAACAATCAAAAATAGATTTTATACATTGGTTACTTTTAATATGAAAATCTGTTTGAATATGAGCACATGATGAATTTTTACACCACTGTTTGGCTCGCTTTCTTTCAGGCGGACCTGAGTGACTTGGATCTGGAGACTTTGGCTCCTTACATCCCGATGGATGGTGAGGACTTCCAGCTGACCCCTATAATCCCGGAGCCAGAGCCCATGGAGGGGGCTCAAGGAGGATCCATGGGGAGCAACAGCAACCTGAACATCCAGCAGAGCTTCAGCAACATTGCCAACCTCTTCCAGCCACTGACCTCCCCTCCTCAGCCAAAAAACCACTTCCAGTCACGGCCTCAAGCGTCCTGGGTCACCAGGCAGAGGAGAGGCTCCAGCCAGGGGGCTGCGGATACCCAAATAAGGTCGTATATGATGAGCCACATGCAGAATCCCCCATACCAAACACCGGCCAGCACACCTTTGTCTTCAATGCAATGGCCTCCTGACCCGTTAATAACCTACCAGCAACAACAACAAAAAGGGCCCCCAAAAGCCTACATGATGGACAACTTATCAGGAGAGGAGCGTCCATCCTGTCAGCAGAACATGTCATACCTGCTACAGAAACAGAGGTAACAAGCTTCTAATAATTTCAAATCACACAGATATAGCAAAACTACATTTAGGTCTAAATGTGGAGTCAGTTTTATGATTTGTTCTGATATGTATGATATTTGTGTTTTGTATAGGTCTATTGATAATTTCATTCAAGCTTACAAAGACACGAGTCCAGCCAGAGTGGCCTTGGCCAACAGTATCAAGCGCTCCTTCAATCAGATGGCTGAGGTCAGTTTCCATCATCACACTGGAAAAAAACAGTTTTCGTTTTTCTAGACGTCAAAACAAAAAACTCATCTAGGCCTAATGCAGTATTTAGGTTTCCACCATCAAAATACGACTTTCCAAAATATGAAAACTTTTTTATCTTGCTTTTGAGGGCAATTTTAAAACTTTTGTTCAAACACTGCAAAATTTGTTGTTTTAATTTTTCTGTCTTGGATGAACTTTGATCATATAACGCTGCCTAGATCTCTTTCTCAATTAGCAGCTACTCTTCTGAGAATAATGCCTACCCAAACCAAACTTTTCAGCTTGCGTTAGTACCGGGCAGGACGGACAGGAAGGGTTTCACTCATTCCCAGAGAAAATATGTCAGCAAAAAACCAACACAAGATAGACAACAGCTGCAGCAGTGATGTAAGAAATAGTAGATACCAGGCATGTGAGCCAACAACGGAATGAGACATGAGACTAAAAGCAGCTTCATATAAACCAGCAGTTCTGAGGGTTTGTCTTGCAAATCCCAATCCCTGGTGAACAAGAAAGATGAGATGGAACTCTGGGTTTTCAACAACCTAATGAACAGCTGTTGGAGAGTCCCTGCTTTTTAGAACTTGAGTTATTGACCTATGTGCCTATTCATCTTAGGTGATATGATGCCTGATTGGAGCTTCCATGTGGTACAGAGGCAGGTGAATGTCTGGTAGTTGGATGGGATTTCCCCTTTCTGGGGGTCTTTCATGATCAGAACTGTCTGGCCTTAGGTCAGCTACTCTAGGTGTGTCCCTTCCATTAGCATCTGGTTCATCTGAGCAGCTAGGCATTCATGGACAGCAGTCAGTTTCGTTAACCAGTAGGTGTGCATCATGTCAGGCCCATGTGTAGTTCAGCTCTTCATTTCTGAGACTCTGTCTTGGATATCTGCCGCTGTGATGGATACTCCCGTATGATTCTTCAGTATTGCTCAGTCTCAGCTTTTGGTGGATCTACCCTTATATTGTTCCCCTGCCCCTGAGAATACACTCTGGATGGTGTGGTGGAGAATAAACACGGTATTTTCCACCACACCATCCAGATTGTACTCTCAATAGTACATTAAGAGTACACTCTGGATGGTGTGGTGGAGAATACTCTATTTATTCTCCTGGCTTCTGCTTGTCGAGGATACCTCCTCAGCCAAATAGCCAGATCTTTGAAGTGTTGTTTGGCAGACTCAGTTATGGTGAAGTTGCTGTATTTTTGTGGTGGATATTTCTTCATTGCACCTTTCTTTTGCCTTTATTTTTGCTTCCAGCCTCTTTGTCCAAGCGGGACAATGCTTCTTATTAGTTGTAGGTTTGATCATATAGCCAAGCACTTCGTGAACACTAGTGGCTGTGGAAAATACCATCATATTTGTCTCTGTTATGGTGTCTGTAGAGATACTTAACAGGCAGTCACATAGTTTAGCAGACTTTCAGAAGGTACTTTGTGTCAGTCTTAGCAAGGGGTTCAGATCAGAAATGTCAAGCTTGGTCAAAATCTTCATTCTCAGGTCAGCTGCCCTTGCATTCAGTTCCTTAGGGCTCTTCAATAGGGCTTTGTGCCCATACTCTGATGGTGGGGATGATACATCAACCTTGACCTATCATCCTGGCTCCCCCTTGCCATAGCATCTTTGTTGTACTTCGTTGATCTCTAAGCACGGTTGCAGATTTCTTGCTTGAATGTTGGAATACTGGGTCTGAAGTTTTTTGAGCCAATATGGATGTTGGATATTGAAGCTTAGTTCCACATCCTTCCCATACTGTATAGCCCCTCTCTCTTGCTCACATATTATCATTCCAACAGTGTTAGTTCTCTGCCCTTGTCCATGCATGTCTTGTTCCAGTAGCCCATTTCTCATCAGAATGTCCTGGTTCCACAACATCTGATGCACACTTTGTTAATCCGGGCAAAACATCCATGCTGGCACAGCTTTATTTTTATATCACTCGCTCATTTTGCAACTGAGGATATTTCCTCGGTTAGTTGGTGGCACCGGGGTTGAACCCCTGATCTTCCCAACCACTGTGTGATAGAAAACACCAAAAATATAAAAGTAATCCAGTGTTCAGGAAGTAGCAACAAATAGAAACTTACGCAATCCTACACCCGTCTTCCCATTCAAAATGTTTACTTTTCTTCAATAGGTGTATTTTCCTGTATGTATAAAACAACTTATAAACCTATTTTAAGAGACCAATATCCCCTGCCACCTTGCATACCAAACTTTTAAACAAAGACTTTGAGCAAGTTTGAGCTCTCTGGGAATATGTTGGGGTTTACTCGCAGCTATGACCACACCATGTTTTACCTCAGTGTCAGCACAATTGCCTTGAGTTATGGTCATTTTTGTGTTTTCTAAAATGCATGAACTATGACAGCAATTTATTCATCTGTAGATGTACATGCAGTTCAGTATTCTTCAATAAAACCCATTAATGGGATCAGAAGACATTTTACTAATAAATGCACCTGGAGAAAATTAAAGGGATTGTAGTGGAAGTATAGGTGTTTACTGTGTATCAATAAAAATAATATAAAAAGATATAACTGAAAGTATTTTTTTTCAGGATGAAAGGAAGCCGACAGAGTTCATATGGAAGAAGATGAGGGGTGACGGCTGTATGGACCGCTCCCTCAGCACAGGATCACTGACAGGTGAGTGCGTGTGCGTTTTCCTCACCTGCTCTTCTCATCAGTTGGATTTTAACCTTGGACCCTTTCCTCACAGATTCAGGGATGAGCAGAGTGATGCACGGCAGCGCAGCTCCGTTTCCCAGCCCTCAGCATCAACACAGGAAGTCTCAGTATCAAGGAAACTGGATAAGTGGCGGAAATGAGAAAATCTTCCCCCCAAAGAGCTGCAGCTACACTGATTATAACACACTGCCTTCTAACAAGTCACAGGGTGAGCTGGGAGGGTTTTAAAAACATCCTCACTGTCTACTCATGCTTTTTTCTTTCTGTTACGCTGCACAAAGTTTCTAGTTGAGTTATTGGCAAACGTGAAAAATAAGCAGCTCTGCAGTGACTTTTTTAAATGTAAATGAACCCGTTTTCATTCATTTCCAGGCATAGTGAGCCGTTTGCTGGGCCCTTCGTTTGAGCCCTCATGTTTGCCGGAGTTGACCCGTTATGACTGTGAGGTCAACGTCCCACTGCAGGGCAACCTACACCTCCTACAGGGCTGCGACCTGCTGCAAGCCCTGGACCAGGCCACCTAGAGCCCCCAGGTCCAAATTCCCGACATAAACCTGGACTTACGCCCAGCCCTGAGCCCCAACTTGCAGCCATGACTACATCTCTCTTCACCTGTTGTGCCTCCAGGCCTCCTGAGAGTCCCAACATTAAGCTACCTGTAGAGCACAGCATTCAGTACCACATCCTGCCTTACTCGGCCCACACAATCCGCTTCCCCCGTCCTTTTTCTAGTTCCTCGTACAAACTAAACGTGCAGCGATAGTGAGGTCAGGCTGCCCCCGTTCTCTTTCTACCCCCCAAACTTGTGGCTTCAACCAGATGCAGGTTCAGTAGAAAAGCTTCCCTGCACTGAACCCCCCACATCAGACCACCCACATACACGATATAAGCAACCCACAGGTCACTGGGTGGACATATAGAGGTCAGTGCTGGATATTTAACAGAATATATGATGTTGCTCTCACCTGTGTTGTGTTTTCAAGAGTTCTGACACTGGGATCTCACTGGGGTTGGCGCTGTGTTCAGAGACACAGACTGTAGACTGGGTCCATTTGTAGAAGGGGGTGTTAGATAGCCCTAGAAACCCCGTCTACCAGAACCCCCCCCAGCACGCCAGCGACCATCCGATTGGTGCTGAAGCTGTGCAGCGGCCTTCTCTCCATCAGCATGTAGCTTCCAGGAGAACACTGCCTACACATCAGCAGAGACACTGAGGTCTGTCAGTTCTGGGTCTTCAGCCAACTTGAGCCTTTTCTATCAGCAGACTTTCATCGCCTCGACGTCTCACCTGAGTTTGTCCCATCTTAGCCACCGTATCATGAACTGGTTCACAGCGGCATTAGATCTGCGTGACGTCTGCTTTATCGTTTGGTTTTAGTTTGGATTGACCAAATATTTGATTCGGGACTCTGCTGTGTAAAGTCGCTTTTCTTACTCGGCCATTCTGAATCTTTGTCTCGCTCACACAGAAACGGTAATAACACAATAAGCTGTAACACGTGTACTCCAGTGTAAATGTAATATTAGCTTATGGGTTGTTTTGCTCCCATGTATGTGTTGTTTTCTTAAATCTGATGTAGGAGCTGGAAGAAGCAGCTTGTATGGTAACAGGGTATTTTCTTATTGTGACATTTATATTCGACACGTTAATAGCTTGCACAACGTGGATTTAACTTGCACAGTTTTCAAGCAGGACAGACGTGCAGGGGGAGGAGCGGTGGTTTGCAAAGACGGCAGAGGGAGAGAGTAAGAGGCCAATATGTGCATGTTTGAATCACTTAAGTCAAATGTACCTTCAGGAGGTTTCTCTGCAGGGCCACATATTAGTTTCCATCTCAGGACCGACAGGTTGCATCGTTCCTTATGCACAAACAGTGAAAGCATTGCTTTCATAAATAAACTGAGCTGAATTTCAAAGGAAGTAGCTACTAACGGTAAAGTTGAAGTTTTTTCAGCTGTTTTGCTGTAAATTGTCACAGAAATTGGCTCGTTTGTACAATTTAATGCAACGATCTAGAAGCCAAAGAGTTATACTTTACAACCATGAAGCAGAGAATCGTGACGGAAACACTCGAGATGGAGGATTTTCTTATTTATGTTGCACAGTTTAAAGCGTAAATATATTAACATGGTTTTAAGTAAGCATTGTTTGCTAGATACAGAATTTACGAAACGGTTTGTGTCATGGATAAATGAAAAGAACATGAGGTTTTAGGGCGACAGGAGAGATTTACTGACCGCCACGGTCAGCCGGGCCTCAGGAGGAAGTGTTGATGGTCCAGATAAGTAGAAGAATGTGATGGGCGCAGAAAAGCCCAAGAAATAAAAATTTTAAATAAAAAAAAAAAACAGCTACTTGTGAGCTGTGGTTGCCCTCGAGGAGCACAAAGGTCGCCCTGTGACGCTCTGTGCACGTACCGGAGGCAGATCAGCTCTCCGGTTTTTACCGTTTTTTACCCAGCAGCAGGTATTTATCCTCGACAAGGCCAGTTTATCTCACGACGAAGTGGCTGCCAGAGAGCTCTGTTACAGATTATTCTCATGAATATTATTAGCTCCTGATGCATTCTGGGTGAGGAGATTTTCACCCACACCTTTAGAGAAACGTGCCGTGTTTCCGTTCTCTTCAGTTCTCTGTATGTTTTTATATATTTTAAGGAGTCTTCGTGTGGTGACCACTCTGGAACTATAAAGCTTTGTACTCGTACACAATATGTATTTAAAACAGAACTAATGTTAAAAATAGTGTTTTAGTGTTTAATGTGTCCTGGTACTTCATCCACCACCACCCCCCACCCCCGCCCACCCCATGGATGCTGTTAGATCAGAACCCCTGCCGGGCCTTCGTCTCTCGTGTTGTCATGGCGTTTATTTTTCATTCTTTTATACTAAAATGATCAGATTTGTTGGCTGGCCAGTACTGTTGTTGTTCTTTCTTTACAAGGACAAAAAGTAAATATGAGTTTTCTGAGTTTGACTTTTCAGACATGTAGCATTTTGAATATTGTAAGAAAGCTGAAGTAGCCATAGAGTTTTCAGGTTGCGTGCAGAAACACTGTGGTGCTTCACGTATGTCTTTTTTTTTTTACTCTTGTTCCATGTCGTGGATCCACTAATGTCGTGTTTTGATATTCCTGATGCATGCTCAATAATCCAGGTAGAAAAATCTAACAAAGTTAAGTCAGGTCCTCTGGACGGATTAAAAACTAAAAATAAATTGTTGAGATATTTTGGCTTTTATCCAAAAGACTTCTTCAGTCTGAGGAGCTGCAACAAACTCAGTTTTATAAATAGCACCTTCTCATAGTGGATCAACCAGTTTGCTGCTGACAGCCAAAACTGTTCACATGTTGAAGGAGGACCATCATCCTAATGATGGATTGTTAGTGCCCTGATGGCCGCGTGCTATTCACAGAGGGTTGAGTGATACTAGCAATAACAGCAGTGTAAGAGGGGGACAGATGGACACGGAGGCTCCGCCCCTGTTTAATGATGGACGTTTTTTTTTTCACAAAGATGGCCTCCTTCACTGGTCCAAACATTCAGTCCCCCGGCACAAACAGAGTAATATTGTGTATGTTGTTCAGTGTCAGGGCTGTGATCAGTCTTACATCGGGGAAACAAAACAGCCACTGGCCAAAAGGATGGACCAGCACAGAAGATCAACATCATCAGGCCAGGACTCTGTGGTCTACACTCATCTCCAGTGGTCACTCGTTCGGGATGAAGGTGTTCACATCCTTGATAGAGAAGAACAATGGTTTGAGAGAGGAGTAAAGGAGGCCATCTTTGTGAAAAGAAACCGTCCATCATTAAACGGGTGGAGGCCTCCGGGTTCAACTGTCCCCCTCTTACAATGCTGTGATTGCTAGTATCACTCAGCCCTCTGTGAAAAGTAAACAGCCATCAGTGTGCTAATGATCCATTGTTAGGCTGATGGTCCTTCTTGATCATGTCAACAGCTGGTTTTGGTTGTCAGCAGCAAACTGGTTGATCCACTCTGAGAAGATGCTTTTTAAAGACAGCTGAAGGACTGAAGAAGTCTTTTGGATAAAAGACGAAACATCTCAACAAGAAGAATCCACCCAGAGGACTTCACTTTACTTTATTTGGTCGTGTTATGATGTTCTCCTGCTTCGTGTTGTGTTTTTCTTTGAATCCACGCGACGTGCCTTATCAGGACTTTTATTAAGAATGTGCAGAGTTCACCCTTCAAGTGCACAGTTTGTTGTCGCCATCTTATTTTATTATAATATGGAAGAAAACATGAGCATTATTTTTTTTTATCACATTCTTCTCTCTGGTTGTTAGCTTTAAGTTAATTTTGCACAATGCGTAAATAATTTAAATGAAGCCCAGAGACTGTTTGAAGCAGAGTCGGCGTTGGGATGATTCTAATAAATAACCCCGAGGTTTTCCAAACTGATCCATCGGCATCAAATCAAATAATTGTGCAGACCCTGGAGGATGGAAGAGGTGGATCCAAGAACGTTTTGATGGAAGCGGTTTTTCCGGCTCGTCGGTTGACCTGAAAGTCTGACTTGTGATGAAGCTGTTTGTGGGATTAACAGGAAAACGGCACAGATTAATCTGAGCTTCAGTTCATCTGAAGGTTCGATGGGTGCACGGTGCACGTAGGACGGCTGGGTTCAACACAGAACCAGCACCAGAACAGTCTCATCTTTAATGTGGTGGAATATTATCGTAATCGCAAAACAGAAGCATTCTATTAATTTATTTTTTTATGCTTAAATCCAACGTGACTCTGTGCTGACGGCACACTTCGTACTGTAAAATCTTATAAGCTATATTAATACAACAGTTTAATATAAGATACATTCATGTAGTTTGTCACGTAAAGTTCTAATATTGAGTTTAGTTATTCGAGAGAATGCTTTCAGTGGGAGTGTAGTTGTGATACATTTAGGAAAAAAGTTAAATAAAACAATGAATTGACACTTCCTGTCTGTTTTATCTAAAATACTTTTTGTCAGTTATTATTAGAAATAAACCCGAAGAGTAAAAAGACATTCATTCGCCTCAAGCTGCCGTGAAATGTAAAGATTTTCAGGTTTTCAATTTTATTCACAGACGTTTTATTGGTCAAAAGAAAGTTTATTTTTAAAAAATCAAAGCAAGCTTTTTCTGTTTTTAATGTAATATTTTAACCTTTTAGAAGGATTGAATTATAGGTTTACAAGGAAAAGCACCTTAAGAGTTTTTCAAATGTCTCAAATGAAAACAATGAAAGTGCAATGCTAGGTTTTTATTTGTTGGTTTGTTTGTTTTGGACACCAAAGATGGACGTGCAGGAAGCAGAAACTACTGACGTTTTCATGGTTTTCATGGTTTTTAGCTCGGCCTTCATGTAAGTAGAAAGAGTTGGTTTAATGGAAGACGATCTGAAAAACTTTTCTAAAAACTTAAACATATGCTCCAAAAGCTTCAGACAGGAAAAGGCAACGTCAGAGCTTCAACCTACGGCCTTTTTATCGACATTAAAACGTTTTTTTGTTTGTTTTGTTTTTTTAGTTCGAGTCATTTTAATGGACGTTTGCTGAAAGTGTACAAGGAAACCAAAACGTTTGCAAACGAAGCAAAACAGAAGCAAACGTAAAAATTAGTGCTTCGATTGACCTCCTCAAACACCAACATTCTGTGCTCCTTGAAGGGTTTTCCCACAGAGACCGCTCGTAAAGGAGTAAACCCACGGATTCTCTGTGCCTCCGTGACGTTTTATATTTCTGTCGTTTCTCTCGTGTAACTACAGGGTTTTTGTTATTCCTCATGGGATCCATGCTCAACTACGTGTATTCTGTTCTTATTGTCATATAGTACAGTTATATTAGCTGAATCAGATTTTTTTATTATGCTCAAATTTATAATGATCTTATCATAATATATTATCATTGTTATTACT